CGGTCGCTGCTGAGATTAGTCCAACGGCGTTTGGGGCTAGTTTCACTTATAATTAGTCGGTTAAGTAGAGCTGTAAAGGTGTCAATAAAAAAACCACCGTGCGTCTTGTAAATAAAGCAAGTGGGACTAATGGGGCACCAAAAGGATGTATCGTGGGACCTTTTGAAACCCCGTTATCCGTCCTGGAATTCAACTTACTGGTTTGGGGATGGTTCAGAAATTATTCCAAAAAAGGGGCTGTCCCTTCGGCTCTACGTCCGAGGGGAACTATAAAGAACCGCTAATCGAAGGAAGGTAGCTGCGGTGAGGGTGTCTGAGAGTATGGTACACTAATTGTTGCAGCTTCAGGAATAAGTCAGAGGGGTTGACGCTGCGTTGCAGGCTCGCCGACGTTGTCACTTTGGCTGAAACCTGGATGTCGTGCACTGATAAAGTTAATGACTTACCGGAGAATTTCTCCAATCATAGAGTGAATGGACCCGGGCTGCACGTTGGCGGAGGGATGTTTCTGTCTGCACTGGGAAGCTGCATTTTCTATGGCAACCTCAAATGTTCAAGCTGTTTCTTGCGTTTTGAGGGTAGATGGTGGGTTGGAATATTTCGTCTGTGTGAATCGTAGCCCTCCCTGCACGAGCATGGAGGACAAGGAGCTCAGCAATATCTGAAAGCAGGCGGCACTTGCTGCACCGAATTTTGTTATACCTAGTGACTTAAATCTTCCACATACAGACTGGGAGCATTCCAGCAACGTGGCAGGGACTTTGGAATGGGAATTGGTTAAATGGCTACACGAGAATGCGCTCGTCCAACACGTTATCCTTCCGACGAGAAGTCGAATTGAAACAACCCCCTCCACTATAGATGTCGTGATCGCTAGGCATGCCCATGTAACAGAGATGCAGGCGGAGGCTCCCATAGGTAGGAGCGATTCCTGTGTTCTTACATTTTGTTAAGAAGTTACCATTGAAACGTCGACTTGTGAGAAAGTTTGGCCGAATCGATATCATACGTTTGCGGAACAGCTCCCTTTTGGATGAAAATCTCAGTTTATATTTTTCTCTTGACATGGTCAAACTCTGCAATGAAAACAATATAGCTTTCTGTTGCCACCCACCTAATTCAACCCACCTCTGCCTGTCTCTAGATGCAGCATCTATTCGGTCTGTGAAGACCCAGTGGAGGGTCATCCTGACAAAATATAAAAACTCCCGTGGCATAAATATCCAAACAACCCATAAGGGCAGGTTTCCGAGCTGCTAAATCAGCCCCTACATACCATAGATGAAGGTATTGCAGAAAACTGGCGGTCGGCATTTAGAAAAATTGGCATGTACACAAAAATTTCCCAGTCTGTCCTGAAGAAGAATTCCAGAGAAATATGAAGAAGATGCGGATGCCATCAGCACCTCTGTTTCAGAGATATTCAAGTAACAACTGAAATGAATGTACTTTGCCACTGCTGAAGAAAATTTACCACAAGGAAAAAAGCTCCGAACTTCCAGCCTGGAAAAAACGTCTTGGGTCCAATCGAGGAGCTTGTTACCGGAACCGAACCTTGTGCTGAATCAGAAAGTGACTCGAATACCAACCTTTATCTAAGAGAAGCCGATTACTTGTCCTCCATCGGTGATGTCAGTGACAACCGACTAGGAATCTTTCCTGATTGTGATGAACAGTGTATTCCACCATAAAAGAAAGCCATGCGAACTCGAAAAACATTTTTGAGATATTTGCTTAGGAATTTAATAATTTTATAGATGCATTTTGTAATATTTTTACATATAAAGACTGGTCTTACTTATCCCTGCGCTAGACAACACTGGTTCTGAGTATGCGTTGTTTTCATGACTAAAGTATCCCCGTTAAGAGGTAAGTTTGGCCATGGTACATAGTTTGAAACAATTGCCCTAAGGATACAGAATTGCATCAGACAACACTTTCTACAGCATTAGAACACTGTAGCCCATGAACAGATTGCTTGATAATTTTATCAAAAGCACTGATAAATGTGTGGTACATTTAGAAACAAAAAGGTGGACCAAAGTTACCCGGTTTTACGGTATTCTGAGTAAGTACTTGGAGAAGCTCATTAGGCACCAAATTTGTGGGCACTTAATTGCTAACAATTCGACTAGAACAGAACAGCATGACTTCGTTAGAACAAAGTCATGTACTACGAACCTGTTGTGTTTATAGGACGAAATAAGTAGATGCCTCGATATTGAGGTTCCAGTGGAGGTTTTCTATCTAGACTTCAGTAAAGCATTTGATTCGGTTAATCATCGTTTTCTACTAGAGATTCTGACTTGGTTTGGGTTGCATCTCCAACTGATGACTTGGTTGTCGGATTTCCTCTGTGTCAGAAAGTTCAGTGTCGGAATTGGTGAGAACAGCATCGGCATTGCCCGCAGCGGAGTCCATCAGGGTTCAATGCTAGGGCCGTTGTTGCTTTTTTTGTAAATGATCTAGCTCCACTCTTCGAGAAGCCTTGGTATGTCTTTGGGGATGAGGTAAAGCTTATCAGCAGGAGAGATAGGGATACGTGGTATAAAGATCTGGGCACAGTGGCAAAGTGGTCTGAATCATGGGACTTGTCATTGAACGCGAACAAATGTCCGCTGTTATCATCCAGTAACGTTGGGATTACGGTGCAAACATCTACAGGGTCCCTGGCATTGCAGTGTATAAATAAGGCGAGGCACTTGAGCATCGTATCGTAGATAGTTTCAGGCCTACGGCGCAGTGCCAATATGCTGCCAACAGAGCGCGGTAGGAAGTTTTTCGCCTCAGGAGAGCGTTGCGTAATACTAATCCTGAGGTCTTTCTCCCAATGTACAAAGCGGTGGTTCGGCCGCACTTACAGTATTGTGTTCAGGCTTGGGCTCCTTATTTGCCAAAGAATGTCGCTTGCTAAGGGAAGGTACAAACACTGGCCACCAGAAGCCGTATGTTGACTGCCTGCGTTGTTTAGGCTTGTTCTCATTAGAACGACATAGACTAAGAGGAGACCTGATAGCAACGTTTACTAATATAAAGGATATCGGTGGTATTAAGCTTACCCATCTCTTTGAACTGGTTACGTCGGACCATCTGCAGGGACACCATCTGAAGCCCATGACGTATAGGTCCAAACTGGATATCTAGGAGAAAATTTTCACTAACCGCGTAGTACGTGGTTGGAATTCAGTTCCCCCTGCACTAGTGGAATGCAATACTATAGAAGCCTTTAAAAGAGGCCTAAATATGAATTAGTTTCCGGATATCCAGTGAGATTAATGGATACCAATTGGTACCAATAGGATGCCACGAATAATTTCATGAAATAATGACAAGTTCCTCTAGTTCTTTTTTTGCCTCTGCAGAAGTGAAGTTTTAACGTTGAAGTGCCGGTGGCCTTGGCTTGCTTACCGGCACACAAAACGGGATGCTCGTTAGGCGAAGGTCTGTTTCGTCCCTGAACACCTGATCTGACCTGTTCAGTGGACAGTAAATGTCAGCAAGCGAGGAAGGATTCAACAATAAAGTACTCAGACGGACTTAGCGAACAAGAGTGCGTCTTTCCAACGCCGTTGACACAAAAACGGCCAGTGTTATCACAGGTTGATCTAACAGCCATTGACAGCAGATACCCTTAGAAAAGTGCATCGGAGCAGAGTGCAGTATAACATACAGTTGCTCCAAAGAATCGAATGGACCGAGACCGCAGCCGAAAGGAACATTTGTCACGAAAAGTGAAAAAGATGCGACTTATCAATGAGACGAATGAAGATCTTCGCCTGATGATACTGGAATGAAGATAAGTGCTATCTACCGAGATCGGGACAGGTTCGATGAAGCGTTTCTTCAGTCGGAGACGAAGGAAGTTGATGACAGCAGCTAATGCTTTAATGCAGCCTAACCTTACTGCGACTGTCATGCTTTTAGACCGGAAGCTCGCCCGCAGTGGACGAGGATATGGAAAATGCAACACAAAAACTGCGAAAAAAGAAAAATGAAAGGATGTGATGGTGACCGAAACAGGGGGCGAGGGCAATCGTCTGCCTCAGGGTAGTCGGTCAGGCGATCGATTCAGTGGACGAGTGAGTTTTAAACACCTAGTTAATTGTACATTACATCAGACTTGTGAACAGAACGCTTGTGTACAGAGTTGGTGCGAGTTCTTCCTGTTGACGCGGCTGGGAGAACTAGGCACGCAACAGTGCCATGTACTGGAAGTAACACAACTCTCATAACTTTAATTGGTGATCTAACGAAGTCGCATGAGGACCACGTGAAACTCACTACTGTACTAAACTGTTACAAATATGCTATCTCGTCCACTGCGATCAGTGTCGCGAATACATAAAGGTAATTCCAGTGTCGTCAATCCGCCATGGATTACAGCAATCAAGTGGTTGTCACTGCCAATACAGTTACTAGGATAAGTGGATCAATCGACCATCTCCTCTTTTACGTGTTGTTGGGCCTCGCCGGTACAGAGATCCGTGGCATAGATATCGCAGTCGACCGAGAATAGGGGTCGGCGATGCAATGGCTCAAATGTCCGGCTCAGCTGCTAAATCGATGGACCAGACAGTGAATAGGTTAGTAGCCCTTCTTCACAATGATGGATGGACGTCCTTAAGTAACCCGCATAGGGCATGAACTGGAAAAATTGTTGATCGTCTGTCAAAAGCACTAGACATCGTCATGGGCATAAAGTCCCACTGGCCGCATGGGTCAGTCGCTACAATTCTGGCTAAGCTGTTTCTGGGAAGTTGCGGGGCTAATTGTCATTTTCATCCATTACCAAAATCAGTATGAACAAGATGGCTCCAAGAACTTTTTATTGTTGCAATGGAGATTGTCCTATGGTCACTCGGTTCATACACGTCGTTCAGCGGCGATTTCTGTTACGGGAATTGTGGATATAAGTGAAGAGGTAATGAGAAATCAGTGAGTACACGTTTAGTCAGATAGGTGAACACTCGTGGGCAGGTGAAGCTTTTAACCTGAATTACCTTGAATAAAAAGCGCTTGCGTTGATCATGATTTCTGTCCGCGGTCCAGCACAAAAAGGATACCACATCCTTTGCCATCTGACTCGTAGTTGCTCGAGTCCCATCCTCGTATTCCAGCATGTCGTCGTACAACGCTCGGGCCATACTTATGGCTCCACCTGGGAAGTACGGATTGTAGTACTGTCCGTCAGCAACAGTCCGACCATGTGGAGGGTCACAGTAACCTGCAAGGAGAACAACTGAGTGGTACAATACCGATAACTTGGAGACAGTGGCAGTACAAAAGAAAGTTCGTCAACTCAAGGAGTTGCTTTGAGATTCCATGCGCTTTCTACCAGTGCACACTCGCCTAAAAAGTTGGAATATTACACCACTTGGCTGGTTAATAAATTGCACTCGGAATCTCACTCGCTACATACCTCTAAAGTGTTACGTACCATTTCAATACGTATTCGATCCGACATTCGTTCGTGTAGTTGCCAAATGGATGCTTCAGTGGGTCTAGTAAAAACGCATCCGCAGTACGTCGGTACGGCGTACCGACGCTGCGCTGTCCCACAACCATCACTAGTCGCGCGTGGGCTAAGGACAATGCGAGGGTCGCCCGGTCCGTTGCGCAGGCTCGGACCCACGACCTCCGGATTAGAAAGCAGGCTTGTAGATCCTTAAGGCAACAGGCCAGACAGTGGGTCCAGTAATCCAATCACGTGAGAAGTAGCAGTAAAAATCAAAGAGGTCGACGATCACATGCAAAATACTTATCTAACGTTAGGGAATCATATCAAATGATAGAGGAAGCGGTACAATCTGCAGAGTAACGACAGAATGTATAAGGTAGTGACGGTTCCGCACGAGTCGCAGATATGATCATCGCGAGTTGAAGACTAGGTGCTTTCTTTCTTCTGCTCTATGCAGCATCACGCCCATCTGGTGACATCAACAAGTGAATGTGATATCATAACAGTTGGTGCTTCTGATCATACCGTCTGGTGAAGTTGCAACACACCACACTGACTAGGTAGTGTCCCATTCACCTGTGAACCGCACTTCCAGATTTGTTTTGTTATTCAAGAGTTAGACTACTCCAGCGGTGCTGACAAATGATCAAGTGGTGAACAGATACGAAATCGCAAATAAGTCGTGCATAGTGTTACTGGCGTCGGTATGTCAACACATGTGAATCAGGTGCATAAGCAAATCCATCAGCAAGAACATGACACGGAAGTGAACATCGAAGCATAATTCAAACCGACAGCTCGTTCGTTCCAAAACTCTTGCTGACTGGAGTTTCGATCTTGTTTCCTTCCAACATTGCACCACGCACCCACTATCGTCCACGTTTGGACTATTTGGGCAGAGATGGCCTGGGCTGGAAGCAAAGCTTTAGAACACAAGATTAGGAAGAGTACCCTTTTCGATAAATTTCATCAGGCAGACCGCCGGAGTTGCGACAGAGTCTACTCTGGGACCGCTTCTTGCAAACATTTTTCCTCGTTAAGCTTCAAGGCGGACCTTTACGATCCATCATCACTTTACTTAATTTCTACTATCGACATATGGATGACACGTTCGCACTCTGCAAGTTCGACACTGGTGTTTTCAGCCAGCTGAACCCGTTAAACAAGGTACATCCAAGACTGAAGTTCACCAATGAAATCGAAAACGATGGTAAAGTGATCATCTTGCTAAGGAAAAAGGAAGATGGTTCACCAGAAAAAGTGTTTCGCAAAGCGACCCGGGTCGGTCAACACACGCATTTTCTCCGTTTTGTACCCTAGACGTACAACCTGACTCATAATCGCTGTTCGTACTTTCGCGTTACAAAGGAGATTGGGAAAAAGCGTAGGTTCAGAACGTTGCAATAAAACAATTATCCAGCACCGTTCATCGGAAAGTATACAGTGATTCATGATTACAACTGTTCCCAAGAAAAATGTCTCTATTAGTTCCCTACAGGAGGGACAATGCCTCCAATTTCCCGAACAAAGGACTTCCAACTCAACATCATCAACAGGAGTACATCAGCCATCTGAACTGTTGCTTCGTTGGTGTTCAACCAGGGTGATCTACGAAACAAAGAATAATAACAAGAAGAGAAGAAAGACCTAAACAGACATTCAGAGTCAAGGCGCCTACACCTTGTGTTAACAACATACCGTCACAAACAACTGGCTATAGTACAAAGGCGGCATCGGCGAGGCAGCTTCCTCGCGGTTTTCACTGCTCTGCATCATAATCAGCCACTACCCCGTAGAGAACTCAGCACCACACACTTTAAACAGGCAAACCGAATAAGAGACGACAGTAAACAAGTGTTGTCTAGTAACGTCTCGAGGCAAGCACACGGTGGGTCGCGTGGACCCCAGCCTGGAAGGCACCCAGTTTGGTCTTCAGTGACTTCATTTCCAGCTGCCAAGTCAACTTTTGTCCGCCTCGAGCCTAGCGCTATCCTTCATGTGGTAAACAAAACGACGCCCTCTTCGGTAAGCGATAACCGGGCATATGAAGTACATGCCCAAGTCAACATAACTTATTTAGTGCTATATGTTGTTCTAAGGAAGAAGCTTTAGTATCACTGCCTAGTACTCACCTACGCACACCATCGTTGAGGACACCGTGGTGCCATCCGACACCAGCAATGCTACGCAGACATTGATGATCAAAAACGAAGGCGCCTCAAGTCTTCAGACCGAAGGGGACAAGTCACACTCCCACAGAGTAGGATGGCCCTCACTGCGGCCTTATAAACACGGCTTTCCAGATCGAGGGTAACCGTTTTGACCCCACAGACGTCGCATATTCAAGAAGGCAGTTCTGCCTTTTGCAATACGTGAACTGACCACAGTCGTTATGCGTCCATCGTTGCTGATGCAGCTGCCAAGATAAGTGAATTGATTAAATACCTCAAATTCCTCGCTACCAAGGATCAAGGGGACATCAAGTGGCTGGTGGTGCTGCAACAACACCTTGCACTTTGAAGGTGCGAGACGCATACCAAATGATAGGACCACTCTAGAGAGGCTATACAAGGTTGATTTGGCCACCGCAACATCGTTAAACAGCAAGACAATATCCTCCGCATAATCAAGATCAACTAGCCTATCACCAGGCAGCACCTCAACGCCTGCATTACAAGACTCCGCAGGGACCACCCCATGGTGGAGTCCATGAGGAAGTTGAACAAAAATGGGGAAATTGAGCAAACCCGAGAAACGCTATATGTGTCGGAAAGATATCCAATAAATCACCGTAAACCCTGATGTGGTCTGCGGTTTTCGAGTACACAGCACGCAAAATGTTCACGTATTTCATGGGGACACGTTTCCGCACAAGTATCTCGAACAGAATTGATTGGTCGACCGAGTTGAATGCACACAGGAACACAGCTATTGTCTGTCTGCGGTACGTATGGCGATGCTCTAGCACCTGTAGCAAAGTGAATATGGAGTCTGTACAGTCCCGTCCTGTGCGAAAACCTGCCTGCTCTTCCCTAATCCGAGATTCCCATTCCATAGTGAGGATTGAAGCTAGTAATCTCGTCCCACCGGCATTAGTCTAGTGTCCTTGTGGTTAGCACAATCGGTGCGACTATCTTTCTTTTAGATTGCTACTATAATCGATTCACTCCAGTTAGCTGAGGTGATCTCTGTCGTCCAGACTTGTTTAAACAGGGAGACCAGTGCTTTGCAGAGGACCTCACCTCCATCCTTAAGTACTGTGTGTGTGAGGTAATCCTAGCCAGCAGCACGAAAACGGTTAAGGACTGTGATCGCGTTTCGGACCTCAGTCTTCGATGGAGTCCCGAAACTAATCGTCCATGGCTCATCCTGCATCACTTGAGTAGGAAGAGGTCAGGAATCCAGGGGCCAACTGAACTGATCTTGAAAGTGTTCTGCCCAACGAGCCATACGGCGCTCCTTATTGTGTATCAGTGCACCCACACTGCCACTGATTGTCTCACTGACGCCTGGTTTCCTGGGACCAGTGATGCGAATCAATTCGAAGAGCATGCGATAATTGCTTACTGCTCCTGATTTCTTCATTTCCTGAACCAGACTGGTTCACCAGACCTTCTTGTCAGCATACAGGCTCCGCTTTATTTTGCGCCTAATAGTCCGTCAAGTTACATGGCGCTCAGAGCCAGCCTGGAGTTTTCTTCTGGATTCCAACAAGTTCACCGACCTCTCGGACATCCAGTGAATGGTGCGGTGATGATTGATAGTGCCGTAAGCAGATGCTTCCGCACCGTGCATGGCGACCGAGATCCTGTTCCACTGAAGCTCAGTGCCATTAGGACTAGAGAGCGAAAGATTTTTATGCATTACAGCTGCAGTCAAGTAAGCTGGGAATTATGGAAGGTTAATAATAGCGATTGGGAGGGAAGTGAGAGAATCAGGTAGAAAGGGAAGGAGTCACCGGCATTAGCATGTTTTCGCTTATCTGTCCTGCTGTATGCAGTAGATAATACGACCGTTTGTAAGCTGCGCAACGGCCGATGCAAGATATGGTTGAAGTTTGAAGAAGAAGTCATGGTTGTACGTGGGCGGAGATACCGCTAAGGCTACCAAACCTAGACAGGAGGATGATTAGAGTTCTCAACCAAAGCCTTTCGCTCAAAAGCCTGTCCGCAAGGCAGCGAGGAGGTGGCGATGTTTTAGTGTTACGGGAATGGAGGATATGGATACTGAGTTTATTTGACCTCTAACCACTAACCAACCTGGAAGGAGTAACCCACAAGAGGTCCGAAAATACTAAGCAGTATAGCGCAATGGGTCGACGAGGTACGCAAACCGTCGCACCACGTTAAGGTCCCGTCTCTTTGCGGCGGAGAATTTCCACTACCGTAGCTCGAACTTTCTCACCTGCCTATCTACACATCATTGCCAAAACCGCGTCATGTACTGCCCAACGCAGCAAGGACATACTAAGCATCTGACTAAATGGATAAGGGAGTACCGTCCGAAGGAATTGCAGAAAGGTACTATCAGTTGCATCAACAGTACCATACTAGAACACTTGGTCAAAAATGCACATAAAAATTAAGACTGCTAGTGCTTTTAATGTATTTTACGTTGTGCAAAAACTGTACTTCAAAGAGCTTAGGAAACGATTCTCACGGACGGCCGAAACTATTACGATAAGGTTAACGCAACCTGAACTATGCACTTTTGCAACCCATCCAGCTGCTCTGGGGTTAACATACTTCCAGTCGGCTTTCCCTTCACATGAGTGTTTGCTTGCTACTGCTTGAATAGATCGGCCAATTTATCGATTGAAACAGCTTAATTGCTGCCTCGTTCTGATTCCACCATCTCTGCTGCGCTTCACCAGACTCTTCCAACACTCCATTTTATAATTGTAAACGCCTGATGAAATTTGCCGAAAAGTGTACTCTTCGCATCCTTGTGTTCTAGCAATTTTAGGGGTATAATTTTTGAAACCTTAGAAATAATAGCGGTCGATAGTGACCCCTTGAGCAATAGGCTATTGAACTTCGTGATTCTTTGATTATTACGCTGTCATCAATTCCGAATGCACTGGTGATGTGAGTGCGTTAACTCTACATAAGACAGTCCCGTGCACGAACCAGAGGCGCGACAGGAGTACCCGATGGTTGCCCACATACGTGTAAGTATGCTTCGCGTGCTGCATGCGTGCGAACAACTCCAGAAATTATTTGTGACCAATCAGTAACACGTGGTGATAAGCAGCTATCTGTGCGGCGCCTACAGAGCATCACAAAGTAGGCCACACAACTGACCTGTGAGCAAATGAAAGACGTAATCTTCGTTCCCGTGACGGGCCTTGACTATGAAGGTCAGATCGGGAGGAGCGGCACCGTTGTTGGCAGCCCTGGCCTCTTCAGTGTTTGCATATGGAGATGGAAGAGTATCAGTTAGGCGACCAGGACGCTCGAACATTTTCCCCTCATCATCGGGTCCATCAACAACGCGAATCTGGAAATTTGAATGAAGATAACTGCTAACAATTTTCGCCAACGATTGCGGTAATAAAACCGTAAAGAGTGGGAAAAACGAAATACACGCCAAAAATAGCTAATAAACGTCTGTCCTAAAAGATAATTCGATTGATTTGCATACTTTTAAATTCGGTGGCGCTTAATATCGTACAATCGCCGACGAATGTACCTCAAATGTCACCAAAGCTGTCATGGCTGAAAAGCTCTTGCGAAAGCGTTAACACAATAGAAATGAAATCGCGAAAGCTGTTGCCATTTGAGATAAATAATAAACGTTACAGACTCAGTTCATATTATACTCCGACACCTTGCATGCGATTCCAGTTGAACTGATCTCGTCCTGCGTTAGCTCCGAATCCCAGCCAAATTCAGAAGTCAACGCCTGGGAGCAAGAAGCGTGTTGCAGAAACAGCTATCGAACCGGGCACAAGTAGTGAAAAGCAATGGATATTTACGGGTCGAACCAAGAATGTTTATATTTCAGAAAAGCTATGTCAGCCACTCAGGTAGGCAGTTCAGTTTCGCAACCCAATAAAACTGTACGTACATGTGTCATGCGATGGACGCGAATGTTCCTGAAACGCTTTGAAGCATCGGTTGTACACCATTGGAAAAAATCATTTTCTCGCTGAAATAATGATTCTGGGGGATTTTACTTTCTGATAAGGCTTTCCTCCTAGTAGTTCACAAGCTACACAGCAGAGCCTAGTCCGGAAAATCACCAGAGACGTTTCACCCTATCGGGGCTCGTCAGTGGTGCGCATTCCCTCGGTCCTCTAAGGAGGATCGAACCCAATTTAATTTCTCACGAACATCTCCTCTATTGAGACCGCGGCTGCGATGTAGGGTGATAGTCTTGGGTTGACTTGCAGTTTTGAAGACGAAGTTCACCGTCTGTCCGTCCATCACCTGGTTTGAAGTGCTTCCCGCGTTGGCTCTGGACTATGGGATGCATCATCCGGTCGACCTTGACCTTGCCTGTTCGGCTTCGGTAATTTGAAGTGATCCATAAGCAAGCCAAGAGTCAGATCGGCTAGCTACCTCGTTTCTGAACGGCAGTGTTTGGCGCAGCTGATTTCCATTGCGCACCAAGGTTTACAATCCAATGAGCATATCACAAATGATGCCTCCACGTTTGCATTCGATCTCGCCTATACTCCTTGCTGCCTGACCATTTAGGTAGTCGGGTGCGAGCACTGGATCACCGGGCCTGAAGAAAAGGTGTCGCTTTGCTCTATGCCGTCGACTGAATTACTTTCTCTATTTTATTGAGTGGTCCAAAAGGCATCGAATGGCGAGTGGAGCTTTTGCTCGCCATCGCTTCTGTTTGGTGCCCGCGGATTTGGCATATACCGTTCACAGATCTGGTTAAGTGTAACATAAAAATGTTATAAACATTCAACCTAGTCAATTCCAAAGTTAAGTTTCGGGCGGTCTGTCAGGTAGCATGTTGCAGTCTTTTCCATTCAGTTAAATGCGAGTTTACAGGTGATTTCTCCAACCAGACGCGATGTGTCAGTTTGTCAGAAGCAGCAAACTCCAGCCTCTTGATGTGGTCCCATGCAGTCCTGTAAACAAGAGAAGTTTTGGCAAATTGCAACTTCGAAGAAATCCCGTTTGTAAGTACGGTGATGAACTACCTGCAGAGTTTGAGTTCACTCTGGAAAGTGGCAACGATTAACAGAGAGTTTGCACTGGTATTTTCGCCTTCTTCTTAGAGCGGAACTTTTATATTCATTGGTCGTGACTACTTGCAACGTACTTCCCTATGGCCCCGTTTAGAACACTGGTAGGTGAGTTTCTTGAATAGACAGAATCGAGAGAAGTGCCACTCACTGCACGACCAACAGGCACTAGGCCGTCCGTTCTGTGACTGAACGAAATTGGAAGACCTGTGTGGCTTGGAATTTGTAACAGCATGAGTAACTCGCGGCTGTGCGGGTGAATAATCGACCATAGCAAAATCATGTTTCAGAGTAAGTAACCGCTTGCATTCGGCTGTAAGAGACTTCAGTGTGTTGCCTAGATCTTGATACAGATTCGATAGTAGTCGTGTGCGGATTTCGGCATCCTTCGGGAACTGTAAGGTACCGAGAAGTAATAATAATAATAGTGTGTCAGATGCACGCCGTAACGGCGCTTCGCTGCCGTGCGAAACCCAACCAGTCGCGCGCGAGCTGAGTGTACCTCGAGGACGCCCGCTTCTACGCGGATTCGAACCGGTGACCTAACGGTTGCAAACCAGCCACTTGCCCTTCGGGGCAAGAGTGATGTCGCGCCGGCGCCATAAGTGGCGAAGGTTAGCAAAAGTGCCTCTAACTTTTGCTATACGATTCGTGATCTCATCTTCAATCCCACGGGCACTGATACAACGTCCCAGGTAGTTGAATTTTTGAACGACTTCTAGCTGATCCGCACCAAGGGTCAGCGTAGGAGGCGGTCCAGACCAATCTTGGAGGAACGTTTCGTACTTCGAGGATGAGAAGCAAAGCCCGGAGTGACGGACAGCCAGTGTTAATCTGTCCAGTGCCGCTTGTCACGTTTGTGAGCTGTCACAGATTAGGTCAATATCATCAGCATACTCTAAGTCAAGAAGTCGTTTTCCTGGAAGCAGATCCACATCTTTTAAGTCGTGTCCTGTAAAAGCGACTTCCATGAGTTCATCAATGGTGGTGTTAATAACCTATAGTAAGAGAACGAAATAGTGGGCCGCCAGATAACATTGTCTACTTGAGAATCATCTTCGCCAGTAAACTTTCCCACTTTCCGTACCTTTTTCATTTCCTTTCACGAACGCTCACCTAGTATTCCACAGCAAGAGACCACACGTTTGGTAAGTTGCACTATCAACTGAGCCGTAGCATATTGCAAACACAGGGTACGATACTAAATCTGATTTCCCAACATCCGTACAGTATCAGATAGGTCAACATAATACATTCGTCACGGCTGTACACCACTGTGATGGATGTGTGCTATCTCCGAAACACACATATAGGACAACAGTGTCCTAATTAATCAGTGAATGTCGGATTCGAGTTCCCGTTATAAAGATCACAAACTTCGCGCCCGCAGTAACACCAAATCAAAGGCTCGTGAAATTTGTATCACCAAAATCATTCTCAGTAGACCGTACAAGCGAAGAGCCACATGTATGCCATACGGTATCGAAACTCCATCGCAGTCACAAGTAGCTTGGGTTCTCACCAAGTGTAGCCCAGAGGCTATCAAGGGTGGATTCTATAGTTTTCTCTCTTATCTAAATGGCCAAAGACACGTATGTCGTGCTTGTTGCAGGTGACACGGATACTCAAGTCAATCGCCAATTGGAACAGGAACATTGCGCGCAGGGGCCAATGGTTGTCGCACTGAGTGGCGAGAGCCTTGTTTAGCTATGTGTCGAGCAGCATGGTTTCCCAACTCAGGTATTCGCGTCGAATTGTGTAATCACAGACGAACGGTAGGATACCCTGGATTCTAGCTGGCTACATCATCGGCGACAGGTGGCGCATATCAGTGCATAATTTTCGTTCGATCTAGGACGCCCGTCTGGATTTTGAGTATGCGCCCACAACGTCCACTCTTCCTGGCCCGGTTAACTGTCCAACTTTGAAGATACCTGCACGTCGTATGTATTCGTACTCTGCAAAGCAGCAATAACAGTCAGGATTGCAACATCAGCTGCCGCTAGCGAACGAAGTAGATGAACAGAATTCTAACTGAAATCGCCTCCAACAGGAGATACATAAAGCACTCGAGATTGACTATCCAGTAAGTTAAGGCACCATAATAATGAGTGGATGGACCTCTAGGATTTCCTTAAGTCAGAAGCCTCACATACTCAAACTACTGGAGACCATTGTTATCGTTCGACAGCGCCCACAATCCTGTGTCCAAAAACGACTCACAATGACACTAAGCCTACCGTCGTAGCGTGTAAAGCACCATTTGGAAAACAGTTGAACATTAATTGATTTCACGTGACATTGATTTGCATCTCTTGTTAGTTACATATAAGTGGCTGATGAGTATGCACAAAGCGTCAGTGTCATTCCATAATCCTCGTCTTCAAATATTCTTATTCTGAATTTCAAGAAGCACTAGAAAAAAAGTAAAACAGTTCCGTCGACACGTCAATTTAGAGATGTACGTAGCACTATCATGCATAATATGACTAAGATTCTGATAATCATTTGAGATCGTCGGTGGACAAAGAGGGCTCGTGAGATGAACAACGCCAGCCCCATTAGGAGAAGCGAAATGCTGTTCCAACCCATTCAACCGGCAAAGAAACGCTCCAGTGAGTGAAGCAATAGTTGAGAAAATGGATCGCTGGTTTAATCAAAATCAAAATGGCCAGAATACTGGTTGAATACCTTGAAAGTAATTCACCAGATCTGGCGTATCAGAATTGTCACCGGAATTACCTGGACCCACGTTGGACACTGACGCAGAGACACGCAATATGAGATTCACTGCGAGCTGGTGAGACTGAAACAATGTAGCTGACCCGGACGAACTTCCGTCGTCGCCATTAAAAGATATTGGTAGGTTACAAGATATATCGAATAATGGTTTGACAAGCCCCGTGGAATGAATTATGTGAATTAAGTCAAGTTAAAAAAAGAAGTTACAATAAAATGTATGAGGTATCTGTGGATTCACCGTACCATCCACATTAACAAACAATATATCCATTTACCCCGATATCGTGGGAGGTTGGTGAGCGCAATGTCTGCCTGCGTCTTATCGTCATTCAATGAACAGAAATCAAATCAAATAATATAGGTGGTGCACTGTATCATAGTATTTTTTAAACGGGTAGCGTGGGCGCAGAAATGACAAAGGTCAAAAGAGCGTTCCACGGTTGGCAAATTCCAAGAGAAAAATAATCCCGGCGGCACTCCAGTCGATTGTATTTGGTCGCCAGTTTCATCTTGTGACCCCTCATTTTTGTGTTGCGGCCAAGTTTCAAGT